TACAATTATTCACAATTTGATAAAAGCTAAACTTTTTTTTATTTACTTTTTTAGATTAATTTAGTATGAATAAAATTAAGATCTCTTTTGTTTACATAATTTAGATTTTATACATTTTGGCCACCATTCTATATTAACTATTAAGGAATTCATTGCTTACAAAGGCCATTTTAACCCATTAGGTGAGCCTTTTCTATCCTCGTGTGGGAGCTCCCTCACTGAATATTTTGTTACATCTACTCCAAGATTACCCATCACAGTACACAATGATAAAATTGATATTATTTTAGATGATCATATTTTGTTAACTAATGATTAAGAGATTCATGTGTTCCTTGCTCATTAGGTTGATCAAGTTGGTTTTTATTTTGCCCAAGTCACACCATTCACATCTCTTGGGGATAATTTGTAGCTTGTGCTGTTGTCATCATATTTTGACTGTAGCTCTTTTGTGATTTTTCCACTTGACAGAATTGAGTTTTTATCTTATCTCATGAGAGATGATGAGGACATCTATATATATCTTGTTATCAGGCTTTTAATTGGAAAAGTTGGACGATGATTAAATGAATTGAGGAATTGAATTGTTTGGCTTGTTGCACAAGTTCTCCTTCCCCTCTCCTTCCCTAAATTTCTATTTCTTCTTCAATTTCTCCCCCTTTTCCTCTTAGTTTCTCCCTCCTTGCTGCCTCCATCTTCTGCTCTTCTATAAAAAAAATTCACCCTATTGATCCTACATCAGAATATGTCTAAATTTTCTTGCTAATGTTGTTGTAAAATTTAAAAGTGGAAAATGTACTGCTTATACGTCTCTTTCTCTTACTTTTCAAGTCTCATAAAGTGTTAATTGTGAATCTTTGTATACTAGCTTTCTACATCACCTTCATAATTTTTTTTAGTTAAAATAAGGTCATAATTTTTTTTGGTTAGGGTAGGATCACAATAGTGGTATTTGAAGGTGCAATATCATTCAACAAAAATGCCCGTAAATGGCTAAGTTTCATGGGTGTCTTGAGTCCAGAAATTGGTCTTCTCTAGAGGGTCGTGAAAGAGAATAACCAGACTTAGGGTGTAAAGTCCAGAAAAATTTCACATACTAGAATTAATTATTTTATCTACTATATTTTAAATTAGAAAAGTTGGGGGATTAGAATGATATATGTATTAATACAATTTTATTTAGGCTAAATATTTAGGTTTCGATAGGGTGAAGATAAGTATATCAATATGGGGCTCGTTGGATAACTAATTATTCATGTATATTAGGCTCGAGAAAAAGTTTAATCAGATAAGTTAGAATATAGATATTATAGTTTATAGAAGCTATTAACATTTGGTATGTAAAAGAATAAGAAAAAATATACATATATTATAATTAAATTGGAAGTAAGGCCTAATTCAAATGGGAAAAAAAAATGTAGTTTTGAGTGTTTTTTTTTTTTTTTTTTTTTTGGCTAAGAGTTGAGATATGATTAGTTGCCATGTGTTGGGTTGTTGGTGATAAAATATTATTTTTTCTTGGGATAATGATTGTAGTATTTTTTGAAATTGTAAAACATGTCACTTTCACGCTTTTGAATCTATCAAAATTCTATTGTCCCTTTCAACTTAAATACAATACAAGAGGTTTATTATGTGTACAATAGTTTATAGATATGTACACACGCCAAATAAGTAAAAAATAGAGATTTGGAACTTGAATTTGGTTAGCCTTTCAAATTTAATTGATCCAACAATGTAGAATAGCAAGATGATGTTGCTTTTATTCCGTTTAAATTGTTTATTTCTTGTTGTTGAACTATTATGAAAGTTTAAAAATATGATATGATATGTATGTTATGGTCATCTGGTACCAAAGATATGATGTTTATTGAGCTCTTACCAATTTCTAAAGATATAATAACGGTATGATAATTTGACACTTGTATTTAAATATTTTTATTCAGGATTGCACCATGATTTTTTCATGTCCTACTAAGTATTCTCATGTATTCACCATTTTCCTTACTCCTCACAGATTAGAACGGGTCGATGGTTGACGGACGATGAGGTACAATCATGATGCTCGAAATTATGAAATTCAATAAAAATAATCCAAAGTAACTTGACTAAGGATCTTTATTTTTTTTAGCATTATTTAAGTTTTATTTCCATGTGAAATTTGTTATTTAGGATTTGGGACATGTTTCAATTAATTATTTTTTCCATATGTTTTATTTATTTTTATTGATGGAACTAAAAATTTTCATCTTGGAATGTTTGATATATTTATTTAACTATGGGAAATAATAATAATAAAATGATAAAGAAAAGGGGTGATATATATATATATATATATATATATATATATATATATATATATATATACT